TCTAGGCTGAACAGCAATATCTGTCAGCCTTTCTTCATATGACTTGCTTCTCTGGCCTGTAATCATACGAGTGGCTCTTCTCTGAACTCTCTTAAGCTTCCCCACATCCTCCTTAAAGTGTGGCGCCCAGAAATGGATGCAGTATTCCAGCTGTGGCCTCACAAATAAGGAAAATAACTTCCTTAGTTTTGCTTGAGATGCATCAGTTGATGCATGCCAGAATATTGTTTGCTCTGCTAATTGTAGCATCATGCTGCTGGCTCATATTCATTTTATAGTCAATTATGAACCCCCCAGGTCCCTTCGGACCGAGCCCGTAAGTTTGATGTGGATTTTTCCTCCCCAGATGGAGCACTTTACACTTCTCAGTGCTGAACAGCATCTGGTTCTGGTCCACCCATCTAACGAATCTGTCTAGGTTCACCTGGATCATCAGCATACCCTCATCCAGATCACTGATGAAGATGTTGAAAAGCACTGGTCCAAGTACCAAACCCTGGGAGACCCCACTGACTACCTTCTGCCAAGTCGACATAGATCTGTCTATTAGTACTCTCTGGGTCTGACCCTGCAGCCAGTTTCCCACCCATCTGACCGTTGAATTGTTGAGCCCATAGCCCCCTACTTTTACCTTGAGAGCCTCTGACTTACAGATATCCAGCCTGTCTAGCTATTCTTTCACCAGCTCTACATTGACTGTTGGTAGGTGATCATCCCTAATGTGACTATTATCATCCCTAATGGTCACCAAAGCCTATGGCTCAAGCTTACTGAGGCCTACTTTGGTCCATGCTGCTAACAGGCCTCTGTATGATTTCTGTAGGCACTGATAAGGGACCTACTGAAATCAAGGAGGCAGGTGGCTGATTTTGCAAGCCAATCACAGGGCCAGCCACCATTTTCACAGCCTCATCACAGTGGTGTTCCCCCCCATACCTCTGATTAGCCGAGGGGCCCTGGTGACCCCACCCATTGCTGCTGATTGGTTAAGATGACTGCCCATCATGCAGCCAGCTCCACCTCTTGTCACTGATTGGCAGGGGGTGGGGCCGTGTAACATGCAGCCCTCTCGGGCAATCAGCAGTGGATTAGGGGGCAACTGCTATCTTGGCTGTTCCCCTTCGTGCTGACAGTTCCCTCCCCACCCTCCAGGTTGTGAGGCCAGGATGCAGTGGCCATGAGGACTGCTGGTTCCCACTGAGAAGCCAACATTTTATTTTAATTTTTTTTTTAATTCTGCAGATTTCATGGACAATGTCTGATTTCACAGTTTCCATAAAATCTGCAAAATCATAAATTGAATAGGCCCCTAGTACTGATCAATGGCTTCACTGATCCATGCTGCAACAAGGCCTATAGCTTTTGGTTACAAATGCTGCCATACTCTTTTAAATATCATAAAATAATGTTTTCTGTGTCCAGCAGAATTTCCCAATTCTGTTCTCATAGACATAAAGCCGAATTATATTCCTTTTTAAGCATGTTCTAACTAGATGGGATCTATTTTTGAGTACTCATTCTTCATAAGCTTCTGCCCATTAGCATCTCTTCAGAAATACAGTATGTTCTCAAGGTTTGTTTTATACACTCCTGCAACATCATCTTCAGTCTCAGCTCTTTCTTGTCCTCTGAATTTCCATTATACTCTGTAGGGTTTACTGGTGATGAGCATTCCATGTGACTATTATAAGGCCATGGTCACCTCATGCCTCCTGAGGCTGGGGGGGCACAGCCTGCAAGCGGTGGTGGCGGTGGTAGCATTGTGGGAGCAGCAATAGGCGACCACTCGCAGATGCCAGACACCACTGGTGGCATCCGTGGTGGAGAAAGTGGGGGGGTGGTGAGCAGCGACCACCCGCAGATGCTGCTGACAATACCAGCAGCAGCCAATCTCAGGGGGTGCATGTACATTCACATGCACCGCCTATGTGTCACCAGTGATGGTCATCCTCCTCCAGTGGATGAACTTATGGGGAACTCTACTATCTTTCTTGGCATGAAAGAAGAAACAATTCCATTCCTTGAATGAAACATAGAGGAGGAGAAAATTAAAGATTGCCGTTGGAAGAGAAGTTGCATGTGGCAGATTTGTGGACTATACACATTAATTTAAGAAAACTTTAGTTTGAAAATACTTTCCTGAAAATCACAATTGATATTGTTTTAATTGGCATAATAGAAGAAGCAAATAACAATCTGCACGAGGATTTGGCACTCAGTGCCAAATGGTCAGAAGGAAAACTTATTCAAAAGTTCACAGGGAAATTGCTATGTGTTCGTCATGGGCTGATTGCTTAAAAAAGTGGAAAACATGAAATAATATGTCAGAATAACTAGATTATATGGGGCAGCTATGTGACAGCAAGTATGGGACTGTTTCAAAACATGCTCTGTATGCTAGAATGTGAAGGCAAATTTTCTGGCATTGTTGACCATTAGGAATTTAAATATATAAGACACACATACATAATCCTTAACTTAAGACCACTTTCCAGATTTCAGGTTGATCTGGTGCCGATATAGAAATGACGCCAGTTCCTTAATATCACGCACCCTCATCAGCCATTTGTGGCTGTCCCTGTTTTGAGCTTTGTTATTACCAAATGTGAGGACTGCTATATAAGCTGATAAAATCTGGACAGCTGGAGCCAAAAATTAGGAGGAGTGGCTGATTTTACACTCCAGATGAGATCAGTTGGCAGAAATGACAGAATTACTCCTTAGGACTTTTCAGGAAGGTGTAAGGACAGCGGACGATCTGGTACATAACTGTTACAGCAGAAATGTTTGGAATTTGCATGAAAGAAAAATCCACTTGGAAGCCTTTACTGAAATGAAAAATCTTATTAAGTCTTAAGGGAAGTTGCATCAGTGATGTATGAAGCAGCAATTCTTTGTAAGATTTGGCATGAAAATATGTTCTGAGTGTGGGAAGAATGGAGGCTGGGATCCCAGAAGATCTTGATGCTACAGAAAGTTGTGAAAGACAGCGGAGGGATGGAAATGGAATCTTGTCCCTAGAAAGAGAAGGAAGAACTTTCTTTTTTGGATGTTCATCTTACAGAATTGGAATAAAATCTACAAGGAAGGCTTGCAGTGTCATTACTGATGAAACCAGGAAGAACCCTCTGAGTGCAGCATATTATCACATTAAAAGATTCCACTAGGATGTATTAGTGACATAATCATTCATCAAAGAAAATGACAGCAGCTTTATGAAAGGAAGTGCAGCTTTGGCAAGATTTTGACTAGCCCGGTTGTGCTGGAACTAACGGAAGACAAAATGATACAATTCTCTGTAGACTTCTGAAAATTCTACATCGTATCAGAATTTGACTTGAGTCTATTGCTTCCCCCTGATAATCAATCAAGCAACTACTTACAGCTAAATTTATCTTCACCTTTGTTTTGAACAAAGGTTACTGGGGCCGATAATTTTTCTCCTGGGAGTCAAAGCATTACGTGGCAGTTCAGAGCTTTGGGTTTTATACCGGTTTACAGTTTGTTCTTTCCCAATCAAAAAATTGCTCTGTCTGAACTGTTAAGGCTCATACTTTTTTTTGTTTGTTTGTTTTTTCTTTGCTTTAATGGAAATTTTTTTGTGTACCAAGCCAAATCAGCCAAATCAATTCCAAATCCACGAGTCACTCAAAAACCATCGGTGGTCCTACTACAGGCAAATATCCTGCACCCCTTCCTGGGGCTTCAGATGTTTCCAAATCATTTGGTGGGCATCCTATGTGCAAGCCCAAGCCCGGAGACTTGGGGTTCGGATGCTCCCGAGTTTTGCTTGCCTTCAGCCGTACGGCCGCAGGAGCAAGCTAGGGACGTTGTTTTATTGCTATTTATTGAAACTGACTGTTTTCCAAGCCAAATTAACCGAAACAAATTCCAAATCGGCAAGTCAGTCCAGAACCATAAGTGGCCCTACTACCGACAAACATCCTCCACCTCCATTTGGGGCTTCAGATGTTTCCAAAACCTTTGGCGGGCATCCTACTTGCAGGCCTAAGCCCCGAGGCTTGGGGTTCGGATGCCCCCGGGTTTTGCTTGCCCTCAGCCCTCCGGCCGCAGGAGCAAGCTAGGGAAGAGTCTCCCCTCTCCATAAAGGCATCAAGTCAAGACTTCCCAGCCCAGTAGTGAAGTGGGAGGTTTTACCACACTTTGCCTCGCAGGTACTATCCCGTGCCAGCAGTGCGGTCTTCCCTGGGTGGGACTAGGAGGACGCCTGCGTGGGTCTACGCTTGCTCTGAGCCCACGAGAGCCCGAGCAAGCAAGGGCTGTACCATTGAGGGCCCGTGAGCCCTGGCACGCAGCCGCCCTTGGGTGGCACGCGGTGAAGGGGCTCATCCTTGTCCGGGGGAGACCGGGCGGGCAGTGTGAGAGGGGGGATCCTGGGAAGAAGAGGGGCTCTCTCCTCTCCCCCCCTCTCCTCTCTCTCCTCTGCCAGCCGCTGTAGAGGATGCGACCGGCTTTCTCGGGTCTCGCCTTGCAAGCCCCAAGCCCAGAGCAGGGAGCGGGGGTGTCTGCTCGTCCCATCTCGCTGGCCACCGGCTCCGGGTTTCGTGCAAGCCGGGGCCGGCCCCGCCCGCCCCCCTCCCTGCAAGCGGGCCGCGCTCGGCGAGGATGCCCGGGCTCCGCAATCAAGGCGCTTAATTGCAGCGGGGGCATTTATTTACCGCGCCTCCTCCCCAGCTCGCTTTCCTTATCCGTTCATTCATTCATTTATTTATTTATTTATTTGCTCCCCAACCCCGCATTCGGATTCG